ACTTGTACATCTCATTGTTGCAATGGGTCCACCTGTATCCCTATTTAAACGATTTGTTTTTTCCCTTCCCCTCCACAAATTATACCAATATCAAATACAGTGAAACAGGGGTTATACCGTGGGGGAGGGACATACAAAGCAACAAAGAAATCATCTTATAAATGTGTTAGAAACAATCGCATGAAAGGAAAAACCATTTGAATACACATCTTAGGGTTCATTTCCCTAACATCAACTTATCTGACCTTTTCTGCTTGACTCAGACATTATAGTATACTCTTGAAGATGAAAAGAATCCACACTTTTGAGTAGTATCTTTTAATTATGTGTTTTTACTAATATGTACTTCCTTCTCTCAAGTTTGTCTGATTTTAGTGATGTAAATGTCAGTAAAATGTTGGAAATTACCTTGGTAGTGCTTACAAAGTGCTAACTTGAAAGGAAAGGGTATGATAAAATGAAGTTCTCTCACTTCAATGTGAAGTGAAAATGGTGAATATATATGCAAGTTTAATTTTATAAATTTTAAAAAACATTGTATTGGACAAGAAATATGTATCTTGAGAACAATGCAAAATAAGTAATAAGCTGTTGCCAAGACCAAGTAGAAAGGTAGAGACCAAGTTAGGTAGATGTGTGTTGCAGCGTGTTCTCTGAATACTTCACTAACTAATGTGTGTGCTTTCTCCTTCTTTCTCTTAACTAGGAATTGTGGTACTTGGAATAAACAGAGCCTATGGAAAAAATTCTCTCAGTAAAAGTCTTATAAAAATGGTAAGTATAAAGTTTGTTTGTTTCTAATGTTAAAGTACAATGTTAACATCAATTTGAAAATAATTCCTTTTGCTTTTTCTTCTTTCTTCTTCCTATTTTGGTTTAGTTATCAAAAGCTGTGGATGCTTTAAAGTCTGATAAGAAAGTTCGGACCATAATAATCAGAAGTGAAGTCCCAGGAATATTCTGTGCTGGTATGTAAATGAATTTTATTATGAAATCAGCATTACCTATTGTTTCCTCAATAACTGCCCATTCTCTGTTAAAATGTTCTGTGGTTTGAACTCTTGCTACCATCGATTTTTCTTTGTCTATATTTTACAGTTTCATAAGAAAAACAATAGGCTCAGTCTGTGAACATTTGAAACTTTTGCAACATGCAGATTGTTTTGCAAGTTGAAAAATACTTTGAGCCATTAAAATTTTTGTGGTAAATGTTTGTGGTAAATGAGCAATATTTATGAAACATTGTTTTGGAAGGAAAAATTAGGTCACTTACCACAGCATTCTGCTATTTTTAGTTGCTTAAAAATACTATAATCTAGTAGAATTATCTGTTCTATCACAAAGTATATTATATATAGGTATTTGGTTTGAAGATTGATGCTTACAATAATACCCAGTTGAGGAGGTTATGTGTCCATGTAGTTTTCATAGTGGCTTTAGAATATCTAAGCCATAACTGATTCACACACATGTTTTTCTGTTTGTGCTGTATTATCCAGAGTTTATGATTCAGTTAATTTGCATTTTCCTTATTTCTTGGTATTTCTAAATCACAATTTTGACTGTAAAAATAATATAGGTGATCAAGGCCACACACACACACACACACACACACACACACACACTCAAACACACACACAGAGCAATATAATATTGGCTCATACCCATAATCCTAGGTACTTAGGAGCAAATCTAGAAGATCAAAGTTCTGAGCCAGCCTAGGTAGAAAAGTCCATGAGACAGTGTCCAAAAAACAACCCAGTCATGGGCTGGAGGCATGGCTCAAGTGGTAGAATGCCAGCCCAGCAAGTGTGAGACCTTGAATCCAAACCCCAGTATTGCCATAAAAAAGGTTGATAACATGTAATGATTTTTCAATAAGCAAATAAAGATAAATTTTTACTGGAGCATAAAAATACCTTTTCCAGTAAATTATAAATGGGATAATCCAAGGGAACCACCTATGGTGTTTTAGTCATGAACAAGTATTTACTAAGTGCTTTAGAAAATTATACCTGGAACAATTCTGGGAACATAAGGGAGCATTTGTGGCAAGGGTATTTTTGTTTTTTTTTAGAGATGTCTTTACTGTGGCTCATATTCTTTAGTGTGTATCTAAAGCTTCAGTTCTCTGAGACTTCTGCTTTGAAACATTGTAGAATTTGTGATACTTAGGGACATTTAGTACAAATGAGTTTTAATTGCTTTCTTAAGTGTGATATAACATTTCTAAAAGAATTAGCTTTTACTCTAGTCATATAGTCTAAGAATGTAGAATTACTCTCCTCAAATGCTTGGTTCTGGTGTTAATTTTGTCAGAGGTAGTACTATCTGTCTAGGAGGGTTGTTAGGGACTTTGGTGTGGCAGTGTAGAGCTGGCACAGTACACTGTTAGTTGACCCTTGGTATTCCTCGGGGATTGGTTCTAGATTTCTTCTCCTCTGTCCCTCTCCCATGGATACTACAATCCAAAATGGTGTTGTGTTTGCATGTAATCTACTCACATCTTCCTATATGCTTTAAATCATCTCTAGATAATTTGTAATAACCAGTACAATGTAAATGCAGCTATGCTGTCTAGGGAACCCTGGCAAGAAAAAGGGTCTGCACATAACCACTACAAATGAAGTTTTTTTCTCCCTAGTGTTTTCTATCTGCAGTTAGCTATTCTGAGGATGTGAAATCCCTCTGCAGAGGGATGACTGTTTGATAAGTGGTAGCTCCGATTCTGTATACAGGTTTTACATGTATTTCTCAATTCTTTTTTAATATATATATTTTATTGTTAAGGTACTGTACAGAGGGGTTACAGTTACATGAGCAAGGTAATGAGTACATTTCCTGTCGAGCATTGTTACCTTCTCCTTTGTTTTTCCCCTACCATCCCTTGCCTCCTCACCTCCCCACCTCCTGAATTTTTTTAGGCAGGATGTGTATCAACAGAATTAAGTTTCTTGTGTCTGCAATTTTCAGAAGGGTGAACATGGTTTTTGATTGAATAGCCCTTAGACCATGATTGGTGATTTTGAGGTCTTGTTGGAACTGTAAGGGTAGAATTTTTAGTATTTTGAGAAGTGATAGTGGTATTTTTAAGGCAGAATATTTTGAATAGTATAAAAATAAACATTAGTGTTAATGTAGTCATTGTCTTTCTGTTGTTAAAAGACTTTGTAATTATCACACTGCAATTGCTGATGGAATTCTTCTTTTAAAAAATGTTTAGTTTTACAAAGAGGTTTCAGTTTAACAGGCCCATTGATGACTACCTCTTGATCATCTCCTCCATCATTGTAGGATTCTTTTACTGATTCCTTGACTACACATTTGGTCTGCATTTCTGCAGTATAATATTGTTTAACAAAGAATTTGATGTTTTAAGTGTAGTTTGTAGTTTTTATACATTGCCCTTTTGGTAACATATTAAATAATATACCATGTGCTATTTATCTAATTAACAAGTCAGCCCTGAGCATGTTTTTTCAAGTTAACTTTTTTTTTTGCATGATCAGGGTAATCTTTTATAATTTAATACATACATTTTAACTGTATTTTATCAAAATATCAGTGTTTGATTTATAGAAAAATTAGAGCAAGTCATAATAATTCAGTATTTAACCATTCTTTCAGATTTCTCTGAAGGAGTGTCCTTTTTCTTACATGTATTTGAAGTAGGCGGTCTGAAAGACATGCTTTGTATTTGTAAGCATGTAGTATAATTCAAAAGCTTGGTACTGGTGTCTGTGAGCCTCACTACTCAGATCTGAAGGTTGCAGTTCAAAGCCAGTTTGGATAGGAAAGTCCATGAGAGATTCTTCAGCTAACTTCCAAAAAGGTAAAAGTGAAGCTGTGGATCAAATGGTAAGAGTTCTAGCCTTGAGGAAAAAAAAAATTCTCAAGGATAGCATCGAGACCCTGAGTTCAAGTCCCAGGACCAGTAAGAAAAAAGTAAAAAAAGAGAGAGCACTTTTCTCTTGGCGAAGATTAATATTTTCTCTCTCTCTCTGTCTCTCTCTGTCTGTCTCTGTCTCTCTCTGTCTCTCTCTCTCTGTCTCTCTCTGTCTCTCTCCCTCCTCTTTTTGTAAGTGCTGGGGATGGATCCCAGGACCTTGTATCTGCTGGTTAGGGTTTTACCACTGTGCTATATCCTGAGCACAAGCGGGATTTTCTTTGCTTTCCTTTTTTTTAGTCATATTAATTTTATTAACCTTTTCAGATAACTAGATCTTATCTTTGAAGATATTTTTCTATTGACTTTTTAGCTTGGTTAGAGGCTTGTTGATTGCATTATTTTTTTTTTTTAGCAGTCAGCTTTTGGTTTTGTTGACTATCATATTAAGTGAAGTAAGCCAGTCCCAAAGAAATTTAGGTCCCATAGTCTCCCTTATTTGCAGTGATCAGTATACATATAGGATACTCTATCAGATGAGCTGAAAAGCTCAAAAGCTATGTACATATGTCCATATAAGATGATGCTAAGTGAAATAAACCCCAAGATATGAACACAAAAAGTCTGTCTTTGTTGTTATTGTTTTAAATGTACTATGTGATGTTTTTGTTGTTTCCATTGTACTATTTTTTGTATTTTTTATTGTAAAAATGCTGTACAGAGCGATTACAGTTACATGACAAGGTAATGAGTATATTTCCTATTGAGCATTGTTGCCTCCTCCTTCGTTTTCCTTCTATCATCCCTTCCCTCCCACCTCCACAGTTACCATCCCCGCCCCCCCCCCCACATTGAAGTTGTAAAGTTCATTTTCAACATAGTGTTTTGTACATCTCATGTTACAGTGGGCCAACCTTTATCCTTATTTAAGCATTTTTTGTGGGGGCAGAGATAGGGGTCATGGGGCCTGAACTCTGGGCCTGGGCACTGTCCCTCAGCTCTTCAGCTCAAGGCTAGTGCTCTACCACTTGAGCCCCAGCGCCACTTCCGGCTTTTTTCTTTTTGCTTATGTGGTGCTTAATGGAACCCAGGGCTTCATGCATGCAAGGCAAGCGCTCTACCACTGAGCCACCTTTCCAGCACTTATGCATTTTGTTTTTTGCCCTTCCCCTCCCGAATTAGAGAAGCCAAGCGGGGTTTTCTTTAGGGTACTTTGATTTCTAATCTAAAAGCTAAAAGATTAGAATGTGAATCTTTTAAATTAAAATTTTATGTTTACGCATCAGAGTGACTCTACAGATATATAGTATATGTGGTGTGTAGCTTTGTTGTAGATGAGACCACTATGTCTGGTTTTGACTTGCTTGAATATCTCTTTTGATAGTGCTCTGATTTATAGAAGAGGTTGGTCTAGATGTGTGCCACTTTTCACATATTGTAGAAATCATTCTTTTATTTTTAAAGGTATCTCTCTCCTTTGTCTTTCTATTTTTGTTTTTTGTCTTGTGCAAACACATACATGGAAGCTAAAATAATCTTGCTTTTTCAAAATATTTAAGATAGAATTTTAATATAATACCTATATGAAATTCTAGAAAAACCTTTTGGTTAGGCTATGCATAAATAGAAACACATGATCACAGTTATCTTTTGGTTGTTGTCCAACTGTTCTAAGTAGCAGAATGCTTACTTTACATTGTTTTTATGATAATATTTCAAAGGAAATCTTAGGAGAAATTTGAGATTGTTTTTTTTTTTCTCTTTGAAATTCCTAAAATAGACAGTAAGCAATTCTTGGTAATTGATTCATCTGTGTTGAACTCCAAATTGAGTGTTTACTGCATTATATCAGTATGGGGTTTTTTTCCCCCCAAAAAGTAAAGGTCATTTTGCTTCTGCTTTTGAATTCCAGTAAATTGTGTTATGACTAAAGGCTTCTCACTAAAATTGTCAACATGTGTTATTGAATGTTTTGTGTATCATTCAGATGAATACAGATGTCATGACAGGAATAGATTTGTGGCAATCTCTGACTAATGAAGTAATCTATTTAAGATTGCTTCAGAATCTAGATTGTTATAT